AGGTTCTTGCCTCTTAAGACACCATAAAGCTGTCCTGTCTCGACATAGAGTTTCCCACAGCTTCCCTCTGCCATAGTTGGGTGGAGCACCCATCAAAAAAAGGTCTAGAGAAAACAAAGGACCTCTAGGCAAATTACATTTTAACATGGCCAACCAGTGTTTTAATGCTCTTCTGACTGCCTTTCTTAAGTATTTCTCACCTTTCCAGAACACTGGCCAATATTGTTTTGGCTTACTGGGCTTCTTCAGCACAGTGAAGATGGTTTTTGTCAACAATATGTGAAACACTGTCTAAGGCTGAATACAATCAAACAGTTGGTAAATCTCCTACAAAGTGTTTGTACCTGCACTACCGCTTAAAACTGTGGAGGCATGCCACTTTTCAACCCATGCACCAAAGAAGGTTTATGCACAGTTAAGCCACAGAGTGTGCAATTTTGGTAAAATTTGGCCAAATTGTGTAATATTTTAATGCAGTTTAATGGTTGTTCTTTGCAGGCATTTCTTTGTAAAAAGGAGAAGCTGCAAGGTTCTGTAGCATAATCTAGACGGGCACTTCCACATGTGTTAGAAATAAGGACTTGCAATTTGATTGAGTTCCCTGGCTGCTAATTAATTTACACAATTGGGTTTAATGCATTCTGTTAATGGCTTGAACCGCAGATTATAATACAAAAAAAAACTAAGTTTGGTAGAAAAAAAAGAGCTGCTTTATTTTGTACCATCCTCTTTCAGGAGTCATCAGGTGGACACTAACAGGAGGCTCCCTGGCACAGGTTTACCAAATATACCCTACCCAAGTGTCAGATTGGAAAACAAATGTTTCAGTTCATACTTTGTTTGCTCCATACTGTGCTGAGCTGATCCAAACATTGCATACAATTTTTAGCTACACTAGCAACTGAACTAAATAGCTCGGTCGGCAGGGAGAGAGTTTTTGGGGCAGGTGTAATGACAACTAAGCATCCAGTATACATATGAATAAACCATAGATTTGGCTTTCAGCATCGTCTATTGTATAAAGGTGCTCTGAAGGTATAAATACACGCATACATTATACAATTCTCCTAAAATGAGATTGCCTGTAGTATCTCTTGGTTCACCTTGGAACAGCACAACATGCTAAATTTGCATGACCTAGTTTGTGCAGAGTAGGGTTTAGTAAGGCCCCATTAACATCTCTGCGGTCCACTGCTGTGTGTTAACTCTTTCAATTTAACACGTGTTATGTCGCACAATAAGCCCCATTACACTTGGTGTGAGTGAGCGTGTGCAGCATTTTTGCGCATATTGCCGCGTTTGTCACGCATTTGCAAAGGGCAGCCCATTCATTTCAATGGGTTGCCCTACGCACAACAAAATGACAACAATGAGAAAAGACGAAAACCTTGTGTGTTCAACAGAGCATATACAGACATTCCTCGCTTTACGGCGTACCTATTTTGCGACCACTCGCACTTACGACTAGCTCTCCGACCTTAGGTGCGGGAACGTGGCAGTGTTACGTCTCGCCGGCGGAAGTGCTGTACTCCGTTCTCCACTGCAGGTCTCAGTAAGTATTTTATTTACACTGTTCAGTACTGTACATCTGCAACACGATACAGTACTGTACTAATGCAGTACAGTACTGTATACAGTTCCTCGTTTAACGACCAATTCGTTTAATGACCTGGTCGTAGGAACGGAACTCGGTCGTTAAGTGAGGAATATCTGTATTGTAAAATGGATGCTCCAGTTTTTACTGCAGAAAAGAAAAATTTTTTTTTTTAAATACCAAGTTAGCATAAAAAGGTAGATTACTCTTAGATTAGACCAGTTGTCAGATCAACCAATCAGCCTAAATCAATAAATAAATGAACCTGTAATAAACACTATCTAGGATAATTAGAACCTAATTAATGAACCTACCAATTAGTTACCGTAACTTAAGTCATCCATGGACCTAAAACTGCTTTGGGTATTTAACAATCTTAAGCTGACCAAACACTGATAGGTTTTTATATGGACATTCATGCAAAATATCTCATAAGAACATTCGATAATTCCATCAGATACTTGATGAATGTTGTTTCAAATTTCATTTGGTTTTGGAATGAATAGAGTTTCCCAACCACGTCACTGTTTAAATCTCGTTCATAAAGAAAAAAAAAAAGTATCTTTGTGTCACTACTGTCGAAAGCGGTTGTTGATTTGCCGCTATTAGAAAATCGAGTGAACGTTCTAAAAATTATTTTTCGTGAACATAATTCCAATGGTGTATGGCTATTGATGGCAAGGTTTGGGTTATATGGAGGTCGTACGCATTACAACCGTCAAAAGCACACAACCTTTGTTATCATACAGCTCACTGAAAAATCTGTGCATGTGGGTGCTGATCGTTCCTTTTTCTATAGGGACAGTAGAAGGAAAGTATGCTCATGTGCAGCAAATGCCCGTCACCTGAAGAGTTGTATTGCATCCGTAGCACACCATACAGGCTTGCCCACAGTTCATGCAGGGTATTGGGTGATTTGGTAAATGGCGTCACCATAATCAAAAAATAATAGTGATGTCAACTTGTTGCCAGGAGCCCGGCTGGTCTCTGAAAAAAGCTTTGATGCACTCACTCCAATATTGACATCCCTGCTTTGGACATGTTTTCTAAATTGTGACAATGGTGGACCATGTCTGCTTAATGTGTATCAGCACAATACAATACAAATCATGAGGGTTGGCAGGCAGAGCATGTTTGCAGTGTGTCTGCCACCCCCTTTCTGGCCAGAGCGTCCCAGGTTGGTTACAGCTGGGTGGAGAGATGTGTATGGCCCTTACACATCTCCCCGCCTGGCTGTTACCAATCAGGGACGCTCTGGCCGGAAAGGGGGTGGCAGGCACACTGCAAACATGCTCTGCCTGCCAACCCTCATGATTTGTATTGTATTGTGCTGATACACATTAAGCAGACATGGTCCACCATTGTCACAATCAGAAAACATGTCCAAAGCAGGGATGTCAACGTTGGGGATGTACTTGTACTTGGGCCTGAAAAAATGGCATCGGGACATCCCTAATTTTTAGCAAAGTAAATAACGTCCAGTTAGGGTTTAGATCTACATTAACCTATGTATCATCATGGGCTCAAAAAGGGGAATAAAAAAAAAATAGGAGACTTCAGCTGAAAAGCCACTCATTCATTAAAGTGACATTAAAGTCAAAGATAATTTTCCCTCCCCCCAATGTTAATTAAAACACTTACCTTTAAATGAGGTTTCTTAATCCGATCATCTTCTTCTTTCCTGTCCTTTTCATCTGTCCCTCCATCGCTGCGACGGGTCTCCGATCCATCGCTGCGACAGGTCTCCGATCCATCGCTGACTCCTCTGTCCTTGCTGGCACTTCCTGTCCCACGGTGCGGGTTCATGTGTCCAGGAAGGGGGTCTAAACACCTGGTCAGCAAGCGGTTAAACTGCTTTTAAAGTGTTGTTTTTTTTTAACACTTTTTGCATATATCTACTGATTGCTAGCCGTAGATATAGGCAAAAACACTGGAGGGTTTAATAACCCCTTAAGGCTGAGGCACAATGGCATAATGCAGAGCAAATACAGACATATTTTCATACAGTGTAAAATACGCCTCTATTCGCTGCACCCAGGGTCCATAGCTGCTTCGGTTTTCTGTCCATAGCAAT